TGACGTTCCTGATGTCGCCCACTCTTGATTCATGAGGTTAGGATGCCACCTCGTGGTAAAGACTGTTCCAGGTACCGGAAGGAGCGCTGGATGAGGGAGTTGTTCTCCAGCCTTGGACCTTAGGGGAGGAGACTCATCTCCAGGAGTTTCAAAGGTGGGATCAAGAACAAAGTCTAGGGCTAGGACTACAGTTCTGTTGGCAAAGGGCTTGCCTAGCACCCAAGAAGCCCTGGATTTGATCCCCAGCACCACATAAAACAGATGAGCTGATGGATCTATAATCCTAGCACTCAGGAGGTGGAGGCAGGAGAATTATAAATTTAAGGTCATTTTCAGCTATCTAGTGAGTTCGAGGCCAGCTTGAGCTACATGAGACTCTGTTTAAAAAAAAAAAACACTGAGAGTGAACACGTATCAAAGTCTTACTTGCTTTACCAGTGAAGGACTAGACAGGAAAACATGTTCACCAAAGGACATGAAAACCCAGAAGTTTTATAGGTAATGGGGGTGGGGTGGAATGATGAGATACAATTACTATGGGATGTAAACCTAGGGCAAAAACATCGTTTCCATGGGGTCTGTCATCCAATGCAGAAAAACATATCATGGCTTTAGTTTTATGGCACTGTAAAACTCGTACATTCTCATCAATGGTGTGTAGATACATTCTTGTCAAGGTTTTGGTCTCAGGTCACCTTGAACCTCACTTGTAGGCATTGCGTCACTCTTCTCGCGCTCCTTGGCCTTATGGTACGTGTGGACAGCTGCTCCTCAATTGACTGTCAGGTCCTGTCTCCACAGACCTGCTGTTAAGTTGAAAATATGCCAACTGACAGCACTCAGTACCACCTCATTTGCCCAATATTATCCTAACAGCGTAGCAAAACAACGTATCATTGGTGGGGCTGGAGTGGGGTCCCATGTCAGGGACTATCTGCACTTTCATCAGATGCCTGTTGGGTGTGGCTCCTGTGAGATATGGAAGACCCTCCCCCATGTCTATGTAGTTCCTAGTAAGATACCCAACACACACAGATTCTGATAGACATTTGTAGAATGACTACAGCATCCGGCTAAAACGTGAACGCCAAGGCCAGTCCTGGGGGTCTCTCTCTCAGGCTGGCTGTGAAATCCCTGACTGGTGGAGGAGGAGTCAGTGCTGACTCGTTTTACATACTCCAGCACTCAGAGTGTTGCAGGATCTTGCAGCCCCACACCCATCTGAGAACTGGTCTACCAACCTCTTTCTACAATCTTCGGCCAAAACTGTTTTTGTTTTTCTAAATTGGCTAAGAGCTGTATTTCTTTCAAAAGAATGATTATTTTGACCCACGTCTTGAAACCTGTCATTTGGTAGAGGATTGCTTTTGGGGTGTGTGTAGTAAGTTTATTTTTATCCATCCCCATAGACAGGGCTTCTCTTCGTAGTCCTGGCTGTCCTGGCATTGACTATGTAGATCAGGCTGGCCTTGAACTCAGGGATCTGCCTGCCTCTGCCTCCCAATATTTTATCATTTTGATCAGTAAAAACAAACAAACAAACAAACAAACAAACAAACAACTCAGAGGGTTGGAATCATGGCTCAGCAGTTGAGAGCACTGGCTGCTCTTCCAGAGGACCAGGGCTCAAATACCAGCACCCACAGCGTGTTTCACAACAGTTTCTGTTCTCAAGCGGTTAGTGTCTTGAAAGTAAGGACTAAAGGGAGCCACACAGAGAGGGTGTTGGTATCACTGTTACCTTGATTCTCCAACATTTGTATCTCTCTTTTTTCCTTTTAGATAGGGAATACTTCTCTCTCTCTCTCTCTTTCTCCCTCCCCCCGCCTCTCTCTCTCTCTCTCTCTCTCTCTCTCTCTCTCTCTGTGTGTGTGTGGTCCTGAAACTATGTTTGAAGCTGGCTTCAAACTCTCAGACATCCACCTGGCTCTGCCTTCCAAGTGCTGGGATTAAATGCCTACACCACCATGACTGGCCTCTTTTTATTAACTGACACAGGGCCTGTCTCATTCTGTAGCCAGGCTAGTCTACAGCTGACAATGCTCTTGCCTCAGCCTCCTCAGTGCTTGGGTTCCCAATGCACCCTCATCTTTCCAGGAGCCTCTGCCCTAGGCTGGCTGAAGCCATTTCACTGGTCCCTATCTTGTTTCTTTTAATATTTAACATTAAATTTTTATGTATACAAGTGCTTTGCCTGCATGTGTATATACACAGCATATATGTATACTGCCCGCAGGAGTCAGAAGAGGGAGAGGACATCAGATCCCCTAGAACTAGAGTTATGGAAGGTTGTGAGATGATGGGACTCCAACTCATCTCTGCACGAGCAGCCAGTGATCTTAGCTGCTGAGCTGTCTCTCCAGTATTGTTTCTTAAAGTGGTCTCTCACCGGCCTGAAACTCACCAAGCAGCAAGGCTGTCTGGCCTGTGAGCCCCAAAGATCCTCCTGCCTCTGCTCCCCCAGACTTGTGTGTGCCATCTTGCCTGGGGACCAAACTCAGGTCTTCATGCTTACCCCGGCTGAGCCTGCATGGTTATCTCACGCAGCTCAGGCTAGCCTCAAACTTACGAGAGTCAGAGCTGATCCTTAACTTCTGGTTGTCTTCCTTCCACCTTCCCAGTGCTGGGATTAAAGACAGGTGCCCAGTTTTACACAGCACTGGAGACTGAACCCACATGCATGACAGCAACTGACTCAAACCCCCAGCCCTTGAGTGTGTCTGTACCCAGGAACGACAAACTGCAGCCTTGGCATTGCCCGTGTGCTCTGAGTCAACGTCATGGAGTATATATAATGGGCACACTTAATTACAGAGGGAGGCCATGTCTAGGAACCAGGTTAGAAATGGCACCATCTGGACCCTTGCTGATCCACACACGGTTATCTGGGAAGCTGGTGGGGGAGCAGGGGGATATAGCGCCACGATTTGTTGAACAAATCTTTTCTGTTCAGGCTATGGTTGGACAGCCACATCAGCTCCTTGGGCCGTATATTTCCGTGAACATGTTAGAATGTGTCAAGAAAAAAAATTGAGTCCAATGACCTGGCTTAATTACCTAGCATGTACCTCAGTGGTTTGATGATTCTGAAATATCACTGCAAGTATGCTCTGGCAGAGGCTCTCTGGAGGCTGTAAAACACAGACGCTGGACCGGGACACAACGCTCTGATGGCGCTGTGAATTACAGCCAAGAGCAGTTACGGGCTGCGTCAGGAGCAGGCTCTTAGGACAAGTGGTTAAAACTAAAAGTGGCCTGCCCCCATGAGCTGGTGAAGATGCTGGGGCCCTCTAATGCTGGGGCCAATTACACATGAGGGGGGCTGATCCCCAGAGAAGGGCACTGGACTTCTGTTTTTTTTTTTTTTTCTTTTTGAGATAGGGTCTCTTTCTATGTAGCCCTGCACTTGTTTGAGATAGGGTCTCTCTCAGTGTAGCTCTGGCTCTCTTTGCACTCTCTGTGCCGAGAAGGCTGGCCTCAAATTCACATAGATTTGCCTCCCTCTGTCTCAAGTGCTTGGATTAAAAGTATGACACAATGCCTGGTCCTTTGTGAGGGTCCTTTTTGAATTTTAGGAGTCAGAGACTCTGGGTGTGTGCATTTTACATATGTACTTGTTAACACGGATACCTGTACACGTGCACACACGTGTGCGGAGGCCAGAGGTTGATGCTGGGTGGCTTTTCTCTGTTGCTCTCTGCCTTTATTGTCTCACTGAACCTGAAGCTCATGGAACTGGCTAGACTGGCTGACCAGTGAGCTTCAAGGATTTGCCTGTTCTCTCCAGAGCCTATCAGCACATGTGGGGCAGAGGCTGGGGTCAGGTGTGCTCGACTGCTCTCTCCTGTATTTTGAGACAGGGGACCTCACTGGTCTGGCTTGGTTGGAGGCCAATGAACTCCAGATACCGCCTGTCTTTAGCACCCCACTCCCCTTTGCAGCGCTGTGGCTAGATTTTGTCGGTGTTCAGGATACGAGCCCAGGCCCTCATGCTCTGCTCCAGGCAGCCACTTCCTCAGCCCAACCTTGAACTTTCATTCTCCTGCGTCAACCTTGGCACAACTGATGCTGTCATGGAAGTGCCGTGCAGGCCTCAGAGCCCAGCATGTGGAGACCAACATTTACCCTAATGAGGACAAATGCCTATGGTAACAAGTCCGTAGCTCTGACAGAGTACTAACCTGGCCTTCTGGCTTCTGTAGCTCTGCTTCTGGCTAACTGTTCTTGCTGAGGTGTGTCAACCCAGGATGTGGATTTTATGCTCAAAAGCTCACACTGACAAACGCTTGGGACTGCGTTTGGGTCTCCAAAACTCAATGTAGTCACTGGCTGGATATTTTTTTTCTTTTTAAAGTTTTTCAAGACAGGGTTTCTCTGTGTAGCCCTGGCTGTCCTGAACTCTGTACCAGGCTGGCCCTGAGATCAGAGATCAGCTTGCCTCTGCCTCCTGAATGCCAGGATTAGAGGTGTATTTTACCACACCCACCTTAATTTAGACTTTCTATTGGCCTGACCTGTGTCAGAGTAGTCTTCTCTGGTGGACCCCTCATAATACTGACATTACAGCTTTCTACTGCCACATCCAATTTCTGTGGTCCGTCCGGGATGAATTCCAGGGTTCTGTGTTTCTGCTAGACAAGTACCCCACCAACTGAGCTTGATCTCAGCCTACCTCTATAACTTTTCATGGCATCCAGGACCTCATACACGCTGGGCAAAGTGGCTAGTCCTATTAGCAGAGGGAGTGTGAAAAGTGATGACAGGGCCATGGTCCCCCACAGGGAAGTGCACCATGAAAATAACCCGAGTGCAGACAGACAGAGCATTTGCTTACTTTGACCAAGTGGCTCGGGGAGCACTTGGGAGCTATGAGACAACTAGGCCACTACACTCTGGGCAGTACTTTTGGGCTACCGCTGCAGGCAGTGATAGGCCCCAGGAAACCAGCTTGGCCCATGCATGGCCACTCACTGAGTTTAAAACCATAGCATCTCAATGCATGACTGGAAAGGGTTGTTTTTATTTGAAATGCATTAAGATAATAGTCAATCGGTCACACAGGTGCCTCATGCTGTGGGTTCCACGATGATCTTCCAGAGCTCCTGCAACACAAAGAAGTGAAAGGGGCTGAGAACTTACAAAGCAGGGCCACTTGACATCAGGCAGACATGGGCTCTTGCCTGGTTTTGAGGCTCTGGCAATTATATGGTGGCTGGGTAGACCAAGTCTAGAACGATCCAATACTGGTATGTCACATGGTCACGAGAGACTGAAGGAATGGCAGCAGATGGCCACAGTCTCGCAATGGTTCTGGGGAGGGGGTGGGGGCAGGGGTGCTTAACCACTGTGGTTTGCAGCTCCTCCATTTCCTAAGTCAGAACAAAGGAGGGAGCATGAGAAAACTGGCCCCTCCTTCTGCCACTGTCTTCCTCTCCTGAGAATGAGGCCTGATCTCCACAGCCAAAAGGCAAAGAGGACAAAAGATGCCAGATGGACTCCTGTGAATCCAGCTCCTGGTAATTTTCAGGATAATTCTGGGTTTTCAAATTGACGCTAAGTGCTGGGTTTAATGCTGTAATAGCAGGTGCCTTGGCTGTGTGGTGACGTCTCAGATCTGCCAGTTCCCGGCTGGGTACGTTAACTAAGACAGTGGACAAAAGGTGTGTGGCACTAAGCACATGCTGGCTACAACTACAGGAGGGTCAGCAAGAGCCTGCTAAGAGTCTTCGAGCTTGGCCAGAGGGGCAAGTCTCCTCAGAGCACACACAGCCATTAGCACAAAATCGTCAACTACACAGGATTTAGAATCACCAAGAGACAAAACTGTGCATGTCTGTGATGGAGTTTCAAGATTGGTCAACTAAGGTGGGAAGCCTCATCCTCAGTGGGTGGCATTATCCCAACAGCTGGGAACCTTGACTTAACACAAAAGGAGAAAGGGAGCTGAGGGCCACCATTCACCTCTGCCTGCTTGGACTGCAGATGCCAGGGGGCAGCTGCCTCTACTCCCGCAGCTATGACCTCCACCATGATGGACTGCACCCTCAACTGCGGGCCAAAACCAACTCTCCCTTCCTCGAGTGGCTGTCACCAGGTATCCCCTAGGCTCTGCCTTGCGATCTGCTGCAAGCCCAGATCCTTCCCACTGACTGAGTGCTCCCCAGATGACCTTCTGCCTTGTTGTCTGTGAATCTGGAATGTCTCCCACAAGCTCCTATGCCCGAACACTTGGCTCCCATCCGGACACACTTCCGGTTGGGAAGACTGTGAAACCTTTAAGAGGTGGCGCCTTGCAGGAGGAAGAGGAAATAGATCTCCATGTGCAGGCTAGCCCCACTTCCTGGACACTGTTTCCTGAGAGTGGACACAATGTGGCCAGCTGCCACCTGCTCCTATGGCCTCTTGAAATATAAGCCAGAATAAACCTTCCTGAAGTTGCTTTGGTCAAACATGTTGCCTCAGCAAGGAGGAAAGTAACTGATGCCTGCACTTTAGCTTCCTCTGGTGACTGCAGAGAGTCGGTTGACATCCCCCTCCCCCAAGGATCAGTGACAGCGTTTAGCCTGCAGCTTCTCCAGGGCAGGCCCTTTGCTTTGCTTCCCACTGCTCTCATGGAGCTGCATCTACCAGCTGCCTGATGCGCTCGTAGATGAGCAACTGCGGGAAGGAGGCCTCCACAGGCTCCACCACGAAGCGCAGCCTGCCGTCAGCCAGCTTCTCCAGTGAGTCCAGGGAGGCACGGAAGTGATCGTAGGCTTCACATGTGACGTCCAAGTGTCTCAGTGTGAAGTTGAACCTGTGGATTGACCAGCAGCAACACGCTCATCATGACCAGGAAGGGCTCTGCTGCACCCCCACAGCTTGCTTCCTGCTCAGCGCATGTCTTGAGGCTGGCCTTAAGTGTCTACTCTCCCTCCAGCCTTTGAGAAAATTCCTTCCTGAGCCTGCACAGATGCCTGCGTTTCCAGATGGCTATTGGCTCTTCTTCATAGATGTCGTTATAGGAAGCTTACATCACCTGCCAGGATGGCACTCTGGAAAGACAGATGGCTATCATCTCACCAGTTGCTGCAAATGGATTCTGGGCAGATCTGCTGGTTGGGTACTGTGGGTTGGGTACTATCTATGGGATGAGGGAACAAGATTCTGTGGCAAAGGGAGGCACAGAACATGTTGGGAGCAAAGGACATTGCCAAGAAGTACAGAGATGAGAGATGATGAGATGAGAGCGAGTGAGCAGTTTTCTGTTTCTGCCATTTGTACCTATTGACACCAGAATCTGTTAAAGTGATTTACCTTGAATTCAACCTTTTCATTTGCTTCTCCTTTGTCTTTTCACACATGTATGTAACATACATGTGTTTTTATGTATGTGTGTGCATGTATAAGTGTAGAGGCCAGAGGATGACATTTCTTCTATCATTTATGCTGAGACAGGCCTCTCTCATACTTGAACCAGGCTTGTGATCTGGGCCCACCACACCATTTTCATGGCTATTGGTGATGCTCATCTTATCTAGCAAATACTTTACCTGTTAAACTATCTCATGACCCCCCCCCCCCAATGTCCTATCGTGAAAAATCTCAAACATCCAAGTAAGCGAGAACTGTATAAGAAATTGCCATGAAGCCACTGGCCAGTGCAGCCAGTGCTGACTCTGGGCCCCTGTGTTCCCATAACCCCTCCCACCTCCCTCACTAACAGCAAATGCTAGACACCCCATCTTTTCACTAGCAAATATGTCTGCACATATCTGGAAAAGTAACAATTTTCCTCAAAATGAAATTAACAACTCTTTGGTTCTTGTTTGGTAGCTTAGAGTGGCCTGAAATTCACGATGCTGGCCTGGAGCTGCCAATCCCCGCTGCATCGCCCAAGTGCTATGGGCCACTATGCCCAGCCAAACTAACTCTTTAAACATCACTTACAGAATTTAGCTTTTCCCATCTGCCCTATGTCTCTTGTTTATAGTCTATAGAGTGAGGATCAAAATGAGGGCCCTTCCTTCTACTGGTCACTGTGTATCTGAAGGATAAACAGTGCTGTGATGACAGCCCAAGAATGGTTAGCTTTCAGTGAAAATCTGGTGTGGAAGAGGCAAAGCTGAAGCAGAGAGACATTCCACAGGGATCTTAGCAGATGGCACAATGACAGTATGAAGGAATCCACAAAGGAATCCCTTCATTCCTATTTTTATTATTAACCATTTCAAAGTTTCATTTTTACACTTTGTTAAAGACACAGGAACACAGAAAACTTCCTTTCCATAGAAAAACAAAGTACAAGTGATGCTAATGGCACGCCTTAATGACAATGGCCTTAGCAAGTAGAAGACAACAGGAAGTGTATTTCACTGTGGCTTGGAGACCAGAACCCTAAGGTTTCCCAGCCTAACCTGCTCCACTTGAAAGTGGGGCCAGGTTGCCCGTGACTGACAGAGTTTCATACAGACTGAATGAGAGAGTACAATGAGGGGTGAGTCCTGGCCCAGAACAAACGAGGTGTATGACAGACGTAGCGAGTACAGTGATATTACAGTGAAGGGTGTGGGTTTGGGAGGCAGAGCTCACCTTTTTTCCACCGACAGAATGGCGGTACAGGCATTTTTTAGTCTGTGGACGAGTCGGGAGAGCGTGTTAAACAGGGCATCTGTTAAGTCATCATCATAGAACACTGGGGAAAGAAAAGTGTTAGGGGGGCAGTTTATTTTCCAGAGAAACCCATGGAAACACCACAGAGTGGATCCTTATCATCACAAACAGTTGCTGCTGTGGAGGAATGTTCCGGAAAGATACTTCTAGGATATCTCTAAGAGTTCAGTGAGGCTGGTTCTCTAGGTCCTGGCTAGAGTCTCTCACAGCAAGCTGCTGTTAGCTCTTCCACATGGCAGACCACAGCAAATCAAAGCCAGCCTCCTCACGGCTGCACAGTGTTTGCTGAGACATGCACCAGGGCAAGGATGGAGCAGGCATGAACATGTGACTTTCCCAGAATATGTGTGGATTTGTGTGTGTTTTACATGTCTGAGCCTTTAGTCACCTCCCCCGGACCCTGGGCAATGATCTAAAGCCAGGTCTTTGCGAATTCTGCTGAGGACTGGCGGCCACACAGAACAGGAGCTTGGCAAGCTGCGGGGACTGACTTTGGGGAAACACAGCTGGGCACTGTCTGTCCATAAACTGTTCTTAACAAACTCATCTTCCTCGTGAAGATGAAGCTGTATGAGTCACGAGTCAGTGTTTGGGCTGCTGGTGCCTCCCAGTGTAGGGCAGGTGCTAAATTATCTCCCTGAAGAAATCACTCGGAGCAAGCGAGGTTTTGGGGGTCCCTGCAGACACTAGGGCTGGCAGAGTAACTATCCAAGACAAGAAGGAAATCCAGTTCAACACCACTTAGTTAACTAACTAACCACTTAGCTGGTTGGTTCAAACTTCTAGTCTGTTAGCAGGCAGGGTAGTTTGGACATATTTTAGGCAATAAAGTGGCACTAAAGCTTAGAAAGGGGCTACATCAAAACTCCTCTGTAAAGTCCATGTGACCTCTTACCTATGCATGTGCCATCTACGTCATCCTAGAGGTCAGCAAGCTACAAAGTGTTGTGGCATCTCCCTGGGGAGGGGTTCTACTGAGAAACAATGCTCAAGATAAAGTTCTAGAGAAGGGAAGGATAAACACGACACTCTGGTGGTTCAGTGTGACACAGGGCACCAGGTTCTTAACTACACCCAGCCTTCTGGGTAGAGAGCAGGTGTGCATCAACTCTGCTGAGGAAACGGCCCTGAGTTAAACACTCCTGGTTTCCCTACTGCTTAACTGAGAGCATGAGAACCCCATGCCCTTTACACCAGGCGATACTGTGATATACGCAATGACAAGGATACAGGATGCAAAGCATTCAGAGCACGTGAGGGGATACTGTATGACACAGGTAATGACATGGACATAGGATGACAGAGAATCACCTCACCTTCGGCCGCAAACACCACAGTGGTGTGATCATACAGGTCAGCGATGTCTTCTTCAGACCAGCTAAAGGGGACTTTGGGATCTACCAAAGAGGAGAAGACTGAGTGGTCCGTTCCTTCCTCTGTTGGCCACCAGGTTTTATTGCAAACTGGTCAAAGAGGCTTCAGGACAAGAGACAAGGCTGAGCTGGGTGTTATAGTACACCCTAGCAATTCTAGCATTCAGGGGGCAGATCTTTGTGAGTGCTACACCAGCCTGGTCTACATATTGAGTTTCAGCCCAGCCATGGCTACCTAATGAGCCTTTGTCTTAAAAAAAGAAAAGGAAGAGAGAGAGAGGAGGCTGGAGACAGACTGACCTGTACCTTAGGAACAGCCACACACTTAAGAGGCACCTTTCCCATCAGTGAGGGGCAACTGGGTTCCATCCTCACTTGCCCCTTGGCCAGGAGCCCTGATAGGACATTACATGTCAATCACCAGCCAAATCTATTCATTGTGTGACACTAGGAAACTGGTCACTTCGCTCTAGGCTTCAGTTTTTGTGTTTACAGAAAGGCTACTAAAACCTCTCAGAAGATGGCTGGGAAGGTCGAGGGTCAAAGGCTCACAGCACAGTGTGCTTGGCAGGTGTCAGGTGCTTGGTCAGTTTCCTTACTGACAGGGAAAAAGGAAGCCCGGTATAAATGGTAAACATCATTATCTGGCATCATCTATGGAAGGACTCAGTCTCTCCCGCCCACTCACTGTGCTTCCTGGGAAGCAGTTTAGGACACAGAGGTGGTCACACCTTGTGGTCACACCCTGGCCCCTCTGAGTGCTGCTCTCCACCCCCACTCAGAACTGATTCCCCTGCAGTGACCCTGGGAGGTGTGAACAGCATCATGTGGCCAACGGCACAGCATGTGGCAGGTGTTCAGAGAAGAGCTGGGGCTCAGAAGCCTGTGGAGGGAACCTTCCACCAGAGCTGGGGCTGGACAGGCACCCACGACTCTGTGGCTCAGGTAGGCCACAGAGGGCCACTGAACCGAGGGACACCACAAGAAGCACAAACCTGTGCAGAGGTCGTCCTTCAGCCAGTCTAGCTCCTTGACCTTGACCACACCACCTGAGAAAGCAGAGACAGAACTGCCAAACTGCACAGCAATGGGAAAAAGAGCACCCTGGCTCCCATTCTTCCGCACCATCTACCCAGACAGCTATCTTTTCTCAGTTCCTATAGGCCTTCTCTCCACACCCCCTTCTCTTGCCACGTCTTCAGTGCTCAGTGTCAGTAACTCTATAGACACAGGGAATATAAAAATCTATGAGTCCTGGTCCCCATCCTTGGAGACTGGCCACTTGAAGAGCAACTGGCGGATTAGTGGATGACTCAAGACTGTGTGATTAGGGTAACACTAACAAGACGAGCAAAACACATGAAAGAGGGGAAGAACTTGGTGCCTGCCCAGGGATGTGAGGAAGGCCCCACCGTGCCCAAGGCCAGGTCATCTATGCTCAGAAGCTATAATCCTATGGAAACACCTGGAACCTTCCCTCCATCTGATGCAAAGGGATGCTACTCAGTGGGCCCACTGGGTGATTCCCAGGTGCCCCCAACCCTCCACTACTCACCCTCACCTTTCGTGGCAGCCAGGTGGCTATTGAGGGTAACGTTTCGTTGGCACATGGCCAGGAGGTCTGTGCCGACATCTGGAATGACAGAAGGGTGCACCATGACATATGGGCTACTAAGATACCCGTCTCCAGTGTTTTTCATGGAGAGTAACCACCAATGGCTGGACTGCTGTGCTATGGTCATTTAAGGTGTTAACATCTCTGCAAGCTGAATGAAGAGTACATGAACATTCTGAATTACTTAAGAAACTTCTGTGTAAGTCCAATGTCATTTCAAATTTGAATACTGAAAGAGTCATCAGTTTGCCACACAAAGTATCAACACGTCACTCAAGGATTATCAGAGGAGGTACAAAGGTGTCACTGTTGCAGTTGACAACTGTGAGGAAGAACAGGGTGGCTAGCATGCTTGGCAAAAGGGTTAAGCAAACTGATTAAGATGACCTAGTTATTAAGAGTCACATTTAGAATAATTTTTAAGGACACAGGAACATGTTCTTAAAAGTACTTTTCAAGATTTTTGGCTGACTGTATGTGTGTGTGTGTGTGTGTGTGTGTGTGTATGTGCACTCACATAGTACTCACATAGTAAGTATTTACAGAGATTTCAGTTATTTCTTAAGAGTGTGCTCTAAAGGGTGGCAGAAAGATGGCCCCGAGGTTAAGATGTCACACTCTTCTTGCAGAGGACCCAAGTTTGCTTCCCAGTACCAACATCAGGTGGTTCACAACCGATTGTAATTCCAGCTCCAGGGGACCTGATCCTCTCTGAGGACACCGTCCTCATATGCACATACTCCAACATAAACACACACACACAGTTGTAAATAAAATAAAATAAAATAAAATAAAATAATATAAAATAATATAATATAATATAATGTAATGTAATGTAATGTAATGTAATGTAATATAATATAATATAATATAATATAATATAATATAATATAATATAATATAATATAATGCTAGGCATGGTGGAGCATACCTTTAATCCCAGCACTTCGGGAGGCAGAGGCAGATGTTATCTCTGAGTTCAAGACTAGCCTGTTTTACACAGTGAGTTCCAGGTCAGCTGGAACATAGTGAAAAACATAGTGAGCCTGTCTTGAAAAAAAAAAAATCTTTTTTTAAAAATGAGAATATGTAAGAGGAAAAAAGATGATAACTTACATAAGACTGTAGTCTATAACAAACATGCACACATTCATATATGAATGGTTAAAAGGAAGTTTCTTTGTGAGTCCTGGGGCTAGGACTTACTTGTTTACCTTTTGGAATACATTTGGCCCACAGTAGATACCTAATACATTGCATACTGTTGAACTGCTCTGGGATTGTAAAATTATAATAATTTTTCTTTTCTGCTTCACATTTTCTCCTAAGAACAAGCCTTGTTTCTATCAGCTACAGATGATAAACCAGTGTGGGATCCCTACAAAGAGGCCAGCCTAGGGTTTTCCGAGACGTCTGCACTTCCTTGGAGGGTGAGCAGAGAAAGGCACTAGACACTGCATGCCCACTGGTCTCGTGGCTACGGGGTGCAGTGTGGTGGCTGGGTGCCGAGGGCCATTTGGAGAGAAGCTGGGGAACTGGGGAAACCAGGAGCGGCCTAGCCCCTGGAGACCTTGCTCATTTCATGGTTGGTGTAAACCATGGCGCCCGCCACCCCCAGTGTACAGGTAGGCTGTTACCTGTACAGTAGACGGTGCGTGCCGTGGTGGCTGCCACAATGCTGGCGAGCCCTGTGCCTGCCCCAAGCTCCAGCACAGTGCGTCCCTGGAAGAGGTCCCTTCGGAACAGGATATAGTCTGCCAGCAGCAGGGCACCCCGCCACACCTGCAAGAGAGAGGACAGGTGAGTCAGGGCTCAGGAGAGATCCGCTGGGGCCACAGGAGTGCACAGGGCCTACCTACCTGCTTGCCTACATCCTCCAGGGGCGTGGCCATGGTGTGCTCTGGACAGGACAGAAACCAAGAAAGAAACGTCCCCGGTGAAATGAAGCCGGCAGGAAACAGAGGTACAGGTAATGTGGCAGTCCGCTAGCTGGCTAGACGGGGTAAAGTTAAACAGCCAAAAGGGAAGCTGAGGCATGGACTGCGCCGCCGGGGGTGGGGGGGGGGGGCACGGGCGCATCACTGAGGCCAGGTACTGGACCACTCCCCTTCAGGTCACTGGATGACTGCCATGTGTCCTAGGGACCAAGGCACATCAGGTCTGAACCCATCAAAAGTACTGTATCTCAGCACCTGAACCTCCATCTTAAAAACTGAAATATATTTTACATGCTAATAATAAATGCAGTTCCTTCCACAATATGTTCTTATACTATAACCGCACCAGAAGCTAATGCAGTGATTTTCAATTTATATCTTAAAAAAAAAAGTTCATGAGAAGGGTGATTGTTAAACACTGAAGACCAAAATATCCCAAAACAAACTTCTGATGGTGGAAAGGAATGGAAACATGAGATGAAGGAGAAAAAGAAACACTGCAAAACACTGTCTGTACCATGACATTAAAACTCACCCATGTTTCCTTCACACCCTCCCCCCCCTTTTTGAGATGGAGCCTCACACTGTAGCCCAGGTTGGCCCAGAACTCACTATATTCTAAATGGTTGCAAATGGGCTGTGTGAGGTTTAAACAAACAAACACAGCAGAGCAGTTTCTACAGCCTGCCAAACTCAAATAAGCTAAAACATTGTTTCATAACAAGAGCGGAGGGGTAAACTGGGTGTGGTGGCTCACAGCTGCAATCCTGCAGGAGGACTAAAGAGCGAGACCCTTCTAAACAACAAGACAAAACTTGGCGCTTGTGAGATGGCTCCTCATGCAAAGTGCTTGTTGTGCAAGCGTGACAAATGAGTGCAACCCCTGGAATCTACAAAGAGGTGGAAGGAGAGAATTACCTCCACGAAGTTGTCCCCTGACCTCCCTGTGTGTGTCGTAACATGCATGTGTGCATGTCTCCACCTTGGCTGCTGGTTGGAAGGGACTACGAAACCTATATTTCTTTTGAAAGGAGAAGAGGCATGCCAGGTTCAACATGTGCCACCAGTTGAGAATCAGAACAGAAAGTCACCCACCTACCTACGATGACACATTCCTTCACTGAACATGTGTGTATGCACACCCATGAGCCAGCCTGGGGCTCACACCCTGAGACAAGTTGCACCCCAGAACTTGGAGAGTGTGGACCTGGGAAGTCAGCTCCCCTGAGGGAGAACATGGGCTCTTGGTCAGCCAGCCACTCATAAGTGCTGGAGTTTTCACTCTCTTCCTGGGTAACTTGACCCTTAGCAGTTTGGAGCCTGATCCCTAGTTCCTTCGTTTGAGCACAGATAACCTTGTGCATGGTACAGCCAGACCATGCTAGGCAGGGAGCAGGCTCAGCAGGTGGCTAGAAACTGCTGGTCTCATCAATGGCCCCAGCCCTCATACATGTGTGCTCACTGAAGGTGGGCCAGGAAAATGCATAGCTCAAGAAAAAAAAACATATTAAGTCAAAATGTTTTTCTAAAGTCAGGTTTAAACAAAAGAGGTTTTACAACCAAACCTCGAGTCTGCCAATCAATCACTGCCACCCTGTGAGAGCTGCATCCTGGACTCCATGTAGAGGTGGCAAGGCCCAGGATGAGCGGCCGGGAGCCTGCCCAAGGCTGCCTGCACTATGAGGGTGGATGACCCAGCCCTGCAGATGTCACCTGGTGGAGGATGGTGCTGTAGTGATGGTGATGCAACCAAGAGTCACCACTCCAGAAACTTAATGCTGTCCTGGGACAGGTGAGCCCCTGACTGAGAAAGAATGTTTCAAGCCCCAAGGTCTTAGGAAAGCAGGAGAAGGGGCAGCCAGGGAGGCTGCCATATACCCAACCTTTCCTGTGGACACTGGCTGGAGGCCAGAGTCACAGTGGAATGACACACTCTGCTACTCTGGTCCTGGAGGAGAGGGGGAACATTCTAGTTTACTTTTCCATTGCTGTGATAAAACACTAGCCCAAAACAATTTATTTGGTTTACACTCCTACACCACAATGTGTCATGAGGGGAAGACAGGAACTTGGAGGCAGGGACTGAAGCAGAGGCTAGGGAGGAATGATGCTTTCTGGCTTGTTTCCCGTTCTTATACAGTCCACGACCCATGGTGGCTGGCTTTACTACACCAGTCAGCAATCAAGAAAGGCAGCCAAATATACACCCAGGAGTTGGCCAATATGCAGTGCTCCTCCATGGTTCCTGCCCTCACTGCCCTCAGTGATGGGCTGACACAAGAGCCAGAAAAAGCCTCTTTTCCCTGAGGTGCTTTTCATCATGGTGTTTACCACAGCAACAGAAAGCAAACTAGGACCAGGGAGACTGGAAGCACCCAAGCTGAAGTACAGATTTACTGGTTTTCTATTAATGTTAAAAATATTGGGGTTTTGTTGGGTGCTGGAGCAGGTGTGCCTTGGATCCTGGTGGCCCCCAGGAATATCAGAAGCAGTAAATGTTAGACGATGGCTATAGAACAATAAAATTAAAGGGAGTAACCTTGATCAAGGGGTGGGCAGCTGTCATTTCTGCCCTGTGCAGTGAGCTCAGGGTTGCAGTCCTTGTGAGATACTCCCCATGCTGGGGTTGGCTTTGATGATACAGCTATCTGGAGACATTTCTGCTCCTGTAAGCCACCTCTCACCCATAGTTTCACAGGAAACCCAATAAAACCCATTGGTTTGCTAAGTTAGACTTTGATGGTATCCTTGCTTTACTCTGTCATCGGTTCCCTATCTGGGATGAGTAGGTGTGTATTCATGTCTTCTCCGAAACAGTGTCACACAATACTTGGGGTCATGACCCCTGCTCTGACTGGCAGAGTCCTGGCAGCAGGACTTATAGTGTTGTTGCTGTTTGCCAAGACCCGTTTCTTGGGTCTATCACCTCTTCTTATCATTGCTCTCCAACCTCAGCTTCCAACCCATTTGCTTGGCCCAGTCCAGGTTGTCGAGAACGACACCCTCTCCACTCCATACTGAGGCTGCTGAATTTCCCATGGCTTCCTGTCTGCACTGAGCCTAGCCAAGCATCCCATAAACTCTGTCTTGACCCCTACTCCTGCACACCCTGTTAGAGAACAAGGGAGCGGGAGGCAGGACTAGGGCTTTCTGGAGGAAGTGATACCTGAGCTGGGACCTGAGGCACTTAGCAAGCATCTGAGGGTGAAAGTGCAGCCCAGCAGAGATCCAGAAGTGATGAGAACATGGAAGAGTCTGAGGTCATAAGGGTCAATGGTGGTAAGAGGTGAGAGAGGACAGTGTCTCCCCAGCTTTTTAAGCTGAGTTGTCTGTATTCTGTCCTGAGGGCAACGGGAAGCTGTTAAGAGAGACTCTGCAGGCTGCAGCCCACCTGTTCCCAGCTCTGAACTCAGAGCCGACACCCACACCTCTATCGTGCCCCAAGAGCCACTGTGACAGTGCCGTGGAGGCCAGAGAGCAAGGCCTTTATTTACCTATGTTGATGATGCTGTGAGGGCAGCTCTCATGCGCTTGGTCTCCCATGAGGTCATCTTCCTCCTGTGCTAGAATCACGGGGTGTACCTTGTGTCTTGCGGGCTCTGCTGGGTTGGGGTCAGAAGCCCGGGGTCTTCGTACCACATCCAGGTCCCCATCCTCGTCCAGGGGAACACTCAACCCTTCCTGGATGGTGCTGTCATCCCCAGCCTGGAGGGACAAATCCTCATGACTGTGGCCACTTCCTGACCCAGCAGGAGGTGTCTCCTGTGTGGAGACATCTTGGGGACCATTGTCCTCAGCCCCTGAGTCTGTCCGAGAGTCCTGACTCCACAGGAGCTTGAACTGGGACAGGAAGACTGAAAGCGAGAAACACAGAGTGAGCAGCACCCAGGTACCTGTCCCTTTCCTCTGCTTTGGTAAGCCTAACTGCCAACTGGAGAAACTTTAGTTTTTCTTTGGAGACAGGGTCCCGTGGAGCCCAAGCTTGCCTCAAACTCACTAAGTAGTTGAGGGTGACCTTTAAATCTTCCTGATTTTACAACTCAGTATTTGGGTCATACACAAGGACCATTGCACCCAGTTTTATGTAGTTCTGGGTTCAAACCCAGGCTGTGTGTGTTAGGTAAGCACTCTGCTAACTGGAGACACTTTTACAGGCAGGTGGGGTGCACAGGCTCAGCAGCAGAGGCTTGTTGCACTCAGCAGTGAGCATCTGGGCAGCCAAGGCCACCAGAGCAGCAGTGCCAGGTGAGGGAGCATCTGTGCAGATGCCTAGCCTATGTCATGTGATTATCTTCAGAGTCACTGTGAAGATAGCATACCAGCCATCTCACAGACATGGAAACTGAGGCTCAGCGGGTGAGCGAGCTTGCTAAGTGGCTGAGGCAGGATATGAATGCAGTCTGCCTGGTACTTCAAGTGCTTCTTAAGAAGAGTAGGTTAAGAACATAGACTGGGTGGCCAGAAAATCACTGAGAGGGATTTCAGTAAGACTCCATGTACCAGAGGAGGTGTGCCAGAGACAAAAAGAGTGAGGACTTTAGAATGTATCCACCTGTCTACTCTGAGCCTGTTTCCACACTTGCATCCCAGGAACGAGAGCATCTACCCTCATGTTGGCCAAGGCCATGGTCAAAGCCAAGGCCGTGAACAAACAGGCTGGCTTGGAGTCTCCAGTCCTCTCTACCTCTGTTCCCTTGCCTAACTGTACATCAGGCACAGCTCGCTGTTCCCTACCTTCTTCCAGGAAAATAGCACTGTGAACATCATTGGGCCCAGAGGACATGGGAAACCTGATGATGGTCCTTGCTGCCTTTCTAGCCACTTCCTCTTCCTGAGAGGCCTTTCTTAGCTCTTTACACAGATCTTTTCTAGCTTTTGGTACTTAGTCATTTGATCATTTGACTGTCCTTCAGGCTCCTATAGTATTACATCCTACAACTAGTTCTGAGCTGCCATCTACCCACCTGCCCAACCATGGATCTACGAACCCACCATCATCTTCATATACCTACCCATACATCTTACTTACCTATCTACTCATCCATCCACCCATTTGTCTGCCTGTCTATCCATCCATCCATCATCTATCTACCCAGTGATCTATCAATTATTACTCTATCTACCTATCCATTCATCTGTCTTAACCATCTACTACCACCCACCCATTTGCTTACCCACCACCCATCCATACAGCTATTCATTTATCCAAACTGACCATTCATTTCACCCATCCATCCACCCATCTTCCATCTATCTATTCATTCACCCACCATCTACCCAATTATCTAGTCATTCATCTGACCTATCCACCATCTGCCACCCTTCCATCTATTCATCTCTCTACCCACCCACCCACAAACGTGAACCGAGTACAACAGCAGGTGCTGGGGATATAAACCAGAATGCAGCGCTTAGGGGGCTTATTTATGTCTAGGGGTTGTAGTGGTGAAACATCAAAGTAAACAAGGTAATTACAGACTGTGAGCTCCCTGCCACAGACACAATAAAACTATTTTGTAAGACACACAGTGGCAACCATGTAAGGCTGGGGCCAGCAAATCTTTTCTTTAGCAGGTCAAGAAATGAATATCATAAGCTCTTTGAGCTGCATGATGTCTGCTGCAACTACCCAACCATCTGAAGTCATAGAAGCACACAAACAAGCAGGCCTGGTAGTGTTTCAGCAGAACATTATTTATAAAAACAAAGCAGGACCAGTTTGGCCACACAGGCCATGGTTTGCAAATGCCTGCTATAATGTGTCATCCAATTAGGACAGTTACTAAAGGGGGCCACAGACACCAAGGGAAGGATGACTAGGCTGGGCACAATGGCTAAGGTTCATAGGCCCAATAGAAGGCCACATGTTCCTTAGAGCCATGGGGGACTAGCGGGGAATCCAAGTTAGGGCAGTACCATGGCTGGGTTTGCACTTTCAGAAGCTTTGGCTGGCTGCAGGAAGAGGGGTCAGCAAGGCTGTACAGAAAAAAAGACCGAAAGTCGAGGAAGGAGGGGACGAGTCAGCCAGGCACAGGAGGAAGCTGACTACATGGGGCCTACGGCCACACAGCCCTGGCACCATCCCTGCACCAACTGCGGGTTCTCTCATTTCTGCATTCCTGACTAGGTCAGCATGGGGTACTCAGCAGGTTTTCAGAGAAGGAAGGCATGCTGAATGTAGGCAAAGGAGACTTAATCCCCTAAAGAAAACATAAAGTTCGTTGTTCTTAGTTTTAACTGTATCTCAGATTTTTGTTTGTTGATGGAGGGTAAGTGGGGAAAAAAAAAGGAAAATATTTAATGTGAAACATAAAATCCAATGTGAAGCTCCCCAGTTCCAGAATGGCTATTCTGTATACAGAATGGCTAACTGTACAGAAGTTCACTGAGACATATAAACTTTAGGTTGCATTAAATTTTACATATGAATTTTGTCAGTTTTTGCAATAAAGTTTTAATTAAAAAAAAAAAAAGGTGACATAACAATGACAGCTAACCAACCCAGTCTTTACCCCACAAAAGAAATATGAGAAAAAGAGAGGAGAAAAAGTGGGCTCCACCAGGCACTAAGCTGTTCCGATCAGGCCTGGATCTTACCTGGCTGCCCCATGCCATTCAGACGCACCATGAGGTGTCTCTGGTTGGGGGTGTACAGGTGGACATCTGACAGCACAGTGTCACTTTTGAAGGTGACCTCATCCATGGCTGGGCCCATGTTATTCCTGGGATGCGCCTGAGAGGGAAGAGCAAGTCCTGATGGTGGGTCCTAGAGGGAACACCAGGCAGCCAAGGGAAGCCTGGAAGCTCTTCCCCTTACACTTCCCTCCCTCCCTCCTACTCTGTGGTGCTGAGGATGTGTCCAAGGCGTAGCCCTGGCTAGGCAAGCTCTCCACCACTGAGCTATATCCCCAGCCTCGTTTTTGTGACAGACTGGCCTTAACTTATTCTATAGTCCAGACAAGCTTGAATTTATGATCTTAGTGAGATGACACGTCTGTACTACCAGCACTTTTCAAATAGTCAAGATAGCTGGGGAAACAGCATGATAAACCATCATATATCCACCACTTGGACTGATGGAAAACTAGTACTTTGTCATGTATATTCACACTGTCTAGTAATATAGAACATGTGTCTAATACTAGAGAACATCTATTAACAGAGACCATCTACCCAATAACAGAAGCTAACTAATTGCACAGAGTGTCTTCCTAATAATAGAGACCACCTACCCAATGAGACAATCTATCTAATACAAGACCACGGTGCTGGATTCTCACGATTTTTTTTCTTTAATGGCCTGAAGCCAGTGTTGTTCCCCAAACCAGTCTTCTGGGATCAGAGGGTTGGGACTCCCCTGCTCCCTGGCAAGTGAGATGCACTCCCACTGGACAATCAAAAATTAGTTGCCGACAGGCCTGTAATCCTAGCACTCAGGAGGCAGAGATCTCTGTGACTTCGAGATCAGCATGGTCTACAAAGCGAGTCCAGGACAGCCAAGGCTACACAGAGAGACCCTGTCTCTAAAAAATAAAAACAAAACAAAAAAAGGAGCCGGATAAGGGAAAAGCAAGAAGCTGGAGAACTCAGGGCCCAGAGGGGCAGGGAAAAGGCTGACTACCCGGTGGCGTCAGGGCTCCAGGGACCTCCTCCCTTCGCGGCCGTCCACTCTGACTTGTGAGCTAACCACTGCCCTCTGAAGAAGCCAGTCACTGACGCGTCTTCTCCTTCCCTTCCAAATCCTGCATCAAGTGGGTGCTGCCTCATCCGGTACTGAATCCGAGAAGAGGTCCCATACAGACGGGGAAACTGAGGCTGAGGGAGGCTTCAAGATCGTGGAAGCTTGGCTCTCAAGACCAAAACGCTCCCTGGATCCTGCCGGGTCCTGCCGCCTCTTCCGGGAGCTTACCCGTCATGACCCTGGGCTGAAGTTCCACGCCAAACCCTTGCTGTAGGACTAAGAAAGCCGCCATGACAGACGGTCTGCGCAGGCGTGGTCCAAGCGCAGGCTTGGGTCGCGCATGCGCACGCGGCGGCCGCCAGCCAACACCTGTTGCTCTTGCTCCGCCGGGAGGTGGCAGCATGAGGCACAACTGTCACCTGGTTGGGTTGCTCATACGGCCGGCCAGAGTGGGGACACCTGTGCATTTGGGTGTGGGACATCACTCCTGTAAAGAATTTAAACAGAGCTAAGGATCTCAGCAGTGTAGAGAGCCCATCACAGAAAAAAAAAGTTATAATTTGCTTTAGGTGTTACCGGAATCATTAAAGATCAGAGCCCCAATAAGCCAGGTTTGGCCACTGTTCCTAAGTTTGCCGATGAAACAAGCAATAGTAAAAAACAGAAGACAAAGACATACAATGGCCTACCCAAGCATATCTTCAGGGTGCTGATAGGACATTTATTTTTAAGCAGAGAGCTATAGTTATGCGCAGCTATGCAGTCCTGGCCAAGATGTGGCTCCCATCTCTCCTGCAAGACTTTCAGAAAAGTTGTAAATCTCTTTCTGGAAGACAAGTTAACTTCTGGTTGGTCTCTGGCTTTAGCATTTGTCTCCTCCCAGCTTGAGATTGTTGGGGAAATTCAAATCTTGGCATCAACTGTTTCAATAATCTGACAGTCAAAGGGAGGAGCACACATGTCTCAAGCTTAGCATGTCCTCATTCCTGCCAGGCAGGAGGTTGGAAGGGCCACTCAGCTACCTCAGCTACTGAGTGCTGGGGGATTATGTTCAAATTGGAGGGTGAGGAATCCAGAGCCTGTGTTAGACAGCACACTCTCTGCTTCTTCTCACTGTTACCTATACCCTGTGTTTAGTATTCTTATAAGCAGTTGGCAGTACGAATACATCTACTCATTAAGTCTCCAGTAACATGGTGAGTCCAGATCTTTCTAAGTTGGAGTCTAGCATGAAAAAACACATGATGCAAATATCACACTTTAGGTGAACTTTCTCCTGCTCAGAATGCTGAAAGTGCTAAGTGCCTAAGGCTGGAGGCTGTATTAGTCATTTATTTTTGTGGCTGTGACAAATACCCAAGAAACTCAACCTAACTGAAGAATTATTTATTTTGGCTCATGGTTTCAGAGACCCAGTATTCCTAGCTCCATTGCTTTGGACCTGGGTGAGGCAAAGCATAGATAATGGGAGGTGGGGGATAGGCCAAGAGCTAGACCCCGAAGACTCAAGGTCCCGAGACTATCTAGTCCCACCTCCAGAAGGTTCCACCAGCTGGATTATAAGTCCATCAGTGGGTGAATCCTTCTGGGAAGGCAGCTGAGCCCTTCCTGCCCAGGCGCTAACACACAGGCTCACCTGAAAGTCCCACCTTTGAATGCCACTTGCATAGGGGACCAGGCTCTCAATGCATGCTCATTTCTAGGGACACTTCTAACCAAACTGCAGCAGAGACAAACGTGACTCTCACAGACCTCATTTGTTCTCCAGTAGCCCATTTGATGGTTGCTTTCTTTTCTTTTCTGGATTTTTGGGGCTTCTGAAAGCTAGGACTTAAAGAAGAGATGTGGATAATTGTGGAAGAAGACAGAGTAGACCGAGCCCATGGACACCCCAGGCCTGGGTGAATTCTCATACCTGTCCCCTGTAAGCAGAGCAGTGCTGTCACAGAATGAAGTGACTATCATGCTCAGTCACATCTTCCTGGTAAACAAAGCAGCAGGATTTTGGGCTATCCCAAAGTGCCTCAACCAACTTTGCAGAAGACACTGCTTTCCGTTGCTATTTTCCTGCTGTTTGTGCAATCCTGAGCAGACCTCCCCACACCAAGACACATGAGTGTAGAGGCTCAGTCAGGCATAGCAACACCTGCAGATGAGCACACACGTATACCCTCCTGGGTTAGACTGGGATAGACAGATAATGAGAGAGATTTATTCCAAGTAAATATCTATCAAAGAGAAGATGGTGTCAGATTATGGGCTAGGTGTGGTGCAGGAGGAAAGGGGGCTAAAACAAAGAGCAGACAGACAGGCCCCAGCTCTCAGGCCAGAAAGTAAGCAGGTATGTTTTAAAAAGTACAACGTGCTGGGTAGAGAGTGGTCAGGTGGTCTCGGAAGGCCTGACTGCAATGTCAGGAGCAGAGGCTGAGGGAAGCAAGCAAGGAGAGAGCTGAGCAAGTGCTTAGCAGAGACCATTCTGATTGTTGTTGTTTTTAAGACTATTTCTCTGTGTAGGCCAGGCTTTTCCTGGAACTCATGATGTAGCCCAGGCTGGTCACGGTCTGTCTCAGCCTGCCAGATGGCCTGCTTTGGTGGAGAGCATTATGTATAGAAGAAAACGACTGGGCAAAGGGCCTGGAGCAGGACTGTACTAAACATGGAAGTCAACTTGGCTCAAATGGAATAAACCTGAGGAGGAGTTGTGAAAAATAAAGATGTGAAGCTAGCCTGGATCACAGCTTTTGGTCCATTGTGAAAACTCTCTGGATTGTTCTTCTGTGTATAAGGGGGATCTGGGGAGCCTTTGAGAACATAGTTCACAATGATGTACACACACACACACACACACACACACACACACACACACACACACACACACACTTTTGCTTCCCCTCACCTTAGCTGTCATCCCTTTATTTAGTTACATTTAAACCAAGATTTGTCTGTTCAGAACAAAAGTGAGTCAACATCAATTTCATGGTTACTTATGATAAAACATGAGAGTTGATAGGGTGACCAAGCAGTAGAAACATGAAAAAAGACTTCCTAAAAAAAAGAAAACAGGCTGTGTTTTTTGAAATAGCCCAAAGTTTTGAGCCACCTGGATGTATTGGGATCAAATTCTGGCCCTAGTCCTTTCTGAGTGATCCTTTTTATCTATTATCTATCTGTCTGTCTGTCTACCTATCTGTTTATTTTGTGTTTTTGAGACAGGGTTTCTCTGTGTAGCCGTGGCTGACCTGGACTCATTTTGTAGAGCAGGCTGGCCTTGAACTCACAGTACTCCCGAGTGCTGGGATCACAGGTGTGCCACCACATCTGGCTCTTTATATTTATTCTTAATATTGTTTTTGTTGTTAGTGACACGGGCTCATTTAGGTTTGTCTCCAGCTGGTCTCCAACTCAGTATGTAGCCAACCCTGCCCTTGAACTCCTGATCATCATGCTTCCACCTCCCAAGTGCTGAGATTACAGGTGTGCATCACTGCCCTAGGCTGGAGTGAGAATTTTAAAGCAAAAGTTACAATTCTCCACACCCGCCCCTCTGCATCTCATCACATCTATCAGTGTGGTAGCTACGCTGGACTTGCTGCCTCTCCTGTCCCAGCCACAGGCCCTTCTGATTCCTCCGAATTGGCCGAGAAGCTGCATTCCTTGATACCCACCTGCCTTGCTTCACCTTCTCTAGGCCTTGCTTTAGCCCGGAGACCTTCCTTGACCATCCTACTTAGAGCTACATTCCCATCTAGGTATGCCCTATCCTTCTCCTTTACTGTTTTCTACAGCACATCTATCCTGGAAGAACAAATATTTTCCCTGCTATGGTGGTTTGAATGAAAATGACTCCCATGGGCACATAGGGAGTGGCACTGTTAGGAAGTGTGGCATTGTTGAAGTAGTTGTGGCCTTGTTGGAGGAAGGGAGTGGGCTCTTTCCCTCCTTTCTTCTGGTAATGGGATTTGAACCAGTCTTGTGAATGCCAGGCAAGTGCTTTATGGCTGTGTCCTAGCTCTCTTCTGCTTTATTTTCAGACAAGGTCTTGTGTCTTGAGCTTGAGGTCCTCCTTCCACAGCCCCTCAAGTAGCTGGGGTTATAAGTCCAGACCAGCCAAGAACTCTCTTTTTTTCTCCTTTCTCTTTCTTTCTTTTCCTTATTTCCTTCTTTCCTTCTTTCCTTCCTTCCTCCCTCCCTCCTTCTCTTCCTTCCTTCTTTCTTTTTAAAGAAAATTTGTTTGTTTTAGATAGGGTTGTATAGTTCTGGCTATTCTGGAACTCCCTGTGTATGCCGTGATGGCCTTGCCTCTGTCCCCCAATTGCTGGGATTAAAAGTGTGTGTCACCATGCCCTGCAAGTTTTTTTTTTTTTTTTTTTTTAAGACAAGCTATTACATAGCTTAGGTTGCTATGTAGCTTAGGATGATCTTGAGCTCCTGATCCTCCTGTCTCTACCTCCCAAGTGCTAGGATGTGGTAAATTTGATGGTATTGGACTAAAATGTTTATTATCAGCCCTATAATTATTTCGGTGGTTAGATAACTATTGTCTAACCCGCTATCATAATCAATAAGACATAGATACGTGTTAAATTTTAGATTTGCCTTATAACACCTTGGGCTGGGTGTTGAAGTAGATAATTCTACTTCAATAACTTCCCCATTCATCTCCCAGCCCTCATCCAATGCCGATCCTATCTGGCCTATTGCCCATCCATAAGTCCATAAATACTTGCTTAGCTTTCATCTGGGTCGCTTCTTTCATCCATGCTGTTTTTGGAGTCCTTCCTTTCAGCCTACTTGTTTCTCTTTTCACTTAACCTATGGTGGCGTCTTCCTTTTCCTCTTTCCCCATGATTCTCCTGTCCCCAAAGTATGGGAGAGCCATGCCTAGCTCCTTCTACTCTGCCCAAGTACAGGACTTTTTTATTAGCCAATCAGGAATAATGTTTTAAGCAGGTTAACAGCAATACTTGGGGTACATGAGAGTTGGCTAAGAATCCCTGGGGCAAGCAGTTAACAAATACAAAGCACCAGACCTTACTCCAACACTAAGATTATGGATTTGGTTTTAAGATTTCATTTTCTTTTTTTTTTAATTCTTTATTAATTACATTTTATTCACTTTGTATCCCCCCTGTGGTTCCCTCCCTCCTCCTGTCCCAATCCCTCCCTTCCTTCACCCTCTGCATGCATGCCCCTCCCCAATTCCACTGATAGGGGAGATCTTT